GAAATATCTGATTCTGCAACTTACCTTACAGCTCTTTCTCTTAGAATGCAGGATATCAGCACACTGGATACAGGTGTAGTTTTCTGTCTCATCCAACAAACTCTTACTTTACTTCAGCAACCATGCAGTTAAAACTGAAGATACTTAGGCACAGAGGGGGATTGAATTAGACATAAAGAAAAACTTTTTCTCTCAGTGGTCAGGTACTGGAATGGCTGCCCAGGGAGGTGGTGGAGTTGCTGTCCCTGGCAGTGTTCAAGAGACATCTGGATGAGGAGCTATGAGACATGATTTAGTGGCTTGTGGTAGCAATGGCAATGGGAGGACAACTGGACTAAGATGATCTTGTAGGTCCTTTTCAACCTTGTGATTCTATGATTTTACAATTCTACATCACAGCCTGATGGTTAAAGGTTTCCTAGAAGAAAGACTGAATTCAGGCACTGGGTGGTGCATTTTAGCATTGGAGACAGTGGGTCACCCTCACTGGTGTAGATTTTTATAAGCGTGGCAGGCAGGCTCTTGCTCATCACTGTCGTGTTTCAACTATGTCGAAAAAGTGTTAGAGCAAAATTTCAGCTACAAAACAGCCATTACTGTGCTCTTCCTATCTGTTGTAGTTTCTACAAAAAGAAATAGGAGACACTACTTTCAGAGTGACTAATTACAAGCAAGGCCATCAGTGCTGTTCTCAGTACGACGACTTGGAATTACTAAAATCCATTCAAAGTTAACTGATAGAATTTCATTAGACTAATACAGATTCGACTTCAGTCTAATTCAAAGTTTTAAATACTTAATCCGAACTTCTTCATCAAAAAATAAAGTAAAATAAAAAGATCTACCTCCATCTCTGGAAACTAAGTCGTACAGATGCATCCAAGTCCACTCAGTAAAATTACCTTTTATTTCACAAATGCTAATTGCTAATAAACAAATCAGAAGTTTAGACTGAGTCACTGAAACTTGTTTCAAAGACTTGGAGAAATGGACTTGATGAAATTTTTTTTTGTCACTTCAACCCTTATTTCCTCTGTTTTGAAAAAAAAAGAAAGTAGCAATGAAAATATAACTTTAACCTTACAGTTATAACTTCTTGAAGCCACACAACCTTTGCATAAAAATAAATAATCATTAGTGTAAAAACAAAACAAAACCCCGTTACTCTAGAACTTATTATGAAACTCTTTTTCACATTTATGTGATTCTTGAATCATCAGTATCCCGCTTAGAAAGCTTTCTCAGATTATCACATTTTGCACAGACTATACAGTATTCTTGGATTCAGTCCAGATTTGAAGAGAACTTCCTCATTGCTTTTATGAAAAGTATGCTCATTTTAGACAAACAATTGACAATTGAAAGCAACCTTGCAAAGCTTTCATATGGCTGATGAGACACAGAAGAAAATTAACTTCTGTGTTGAACAGCATTTTAAAGTGTGCTAGCAGATACACAGGAAACTGGACACAGTAATTACAAACCTTTCAACCCAACTGCATCTTTGCAAAAGTCAGACTTTAAATATCATATTAGCTTACAACTTTTTAAATACATTTGGTAATACCTGCTGGTACACAGATCCTCCTTATTGCTTTGAAACACACAATGTTGTAACTGAAACTTAGATGCTTATCTCAAGTTCTTAGGCGCCAAAATTAAAAATAGCAAATAGAAGATGGTAGAAACAAAGGCATATGGTTCATTTATAAAAACATTTATAGGGTACTCAAATATTTATTTCTATCTACTGGGAACTCATATTTATTCCTCTTGAGTACAAAAAGACAAGACTACTGAAATGCTATACAAGATCATCCTGAACAGCTGTTCTCAAATGACACGAGCAGAGGATCTTACATACCATTAAATTATTTCTGGAATCAAATTTCTCATCTTGAGCAAGAAATTTCCTAATATTAAAGTTCATAAATCCATTAATCTTCTAAGCATAGATACTTTAGTACAATCCTCTTTTAAAAGGTTGAAGCTGGAGCAGTTAAGGCAACCTACCATAAGTGTTTTAAAATCCAGCACACAGCTTCTAATCATCAAGGTGCCTGGCAGTTATTTGTTCAGAGAGCTGCTTCTTGAAACCTTCATCCACACCATCCTTCCACCTGACACAATACCAAACACTTTATACACATTACTTCAGTGTTCCAGGCTTTTTGGAGGTGTGAAGGGAGGTGGAGCCTAACATAAAGCTAGTAGCTCCACAAGGAACTCTTCAGATGGGAAAACATGCTACCCAGCAACTCACAGATGTTAACTTTACCATATGTTAAGACTTCCACAGACTGCCAACAGTCTCCTTCTAAAGAACTCTCAGCAACTGTAAATGTAAGCACACTATAAAACACTGTTACTGCATTCTGCGCTCTGACAGTGTTCTCACATTCACCGTTGCCAAAAGCAAATTATTTTTTCTGTCATGGAAGTTCACTGATTCATAAGAACTTTTTTTTTAAAAAAAAAAAAAAAAAAAGAGCTTTCTAAACACATCAACCATTTTGAAATCAACCATTTCATTTTGAAGCTGTGGCAAACAAAATTTCACTCTAACATGTAAGTGGTTTTCATTCAACATTAAAAAGTATATGTCTTATTAAAAATGACTAGTGCTGCCTATCTACAGTTGTTCAGCTAATAATTTGGGGTATCAGAAGGGACCATTATTTATTGCATTATAAAATTTCAAAGAAAAAATCCTGCACAGCACGTAAACTGTTCTACTTTCCCATGCATATCCTACAAAGAAGATAGCAGAACTCAGCTTCCGCATGCAGGTGTGTTTAACAATCACCATGCCATCTTTTCCTTCTTGCTTGCTCTCACTTCTCTTCAGAGGATGCTTAAAGAAGTGGAGGAAAAAAATCAGAAAGTATGCCTCAGGTTTTTAACGTGAAATATAAGTCAATTTATTTATGATGATAGTCATCAGAAGACCATACTCCTAGATGTAAAATACTTTTTCTTCTTTGAAAAAAGGAAAATCAATACACATTACTACAACCACAGATGCTGTGGTTTTTCTGCCTCTCCCTCCTTACATAAGTCCATACTGATGACAGAGCCAGTTCAAAAAAAAGTCTAATCACTATCTAAATTAACAGGGTTGTAGTCAGGGTCATCTTCTTCATCCTCCAACTCTAAATCATCCATTTCTTGGAATAAAGATTCATCAACCTCCACACTGTTTCCAGCTACAAAAAAAGAAAAGAAGTATTACAAGAAGAGAAAAGAAGTACCTGAACAACAAAATACAGTCTCTGAACACAAAGAGTACAAAGCGTGTGTATGCACATTTTATATATATACACATATACACACCACACACACATGCAATAAGGAACATCAGATCATATACAATTATCCTTTAAATTTTCTCCATGAGGAAAACTGAAAGGCAGACAACTAATTCAGAGGGGCACTGATATGTTAAAAAAAATAAATAAATTTAGATTTAGATTTGAAAAGCAAGCTGAAGCCTTGTATGCTGTCACACTTTCTTCTAAAATAGATGAAGTTTAGGAGTAAAACTTCAGAACCACTGCTACTTTATTTGCATGTATCAATAGCGACATCTTCTGGCCACTGAACAAGGTTCTGTTTTTCATTGCCTTTGAAGGAGACCTTTTTAAACTGCTTCCATTTAAACAACATCATTAGACTGTAGCAGCTGCAAAAATTAGTGTTATTTAATAATAACTTCAATTTAAATTTACAACACTAATCTGTGCAGGAGTTTTTAAATAATGGACAGCATCAGGATTAAAAGTTAGCATTAAAAGTTATGTTCCCATAACTTAGGAATAGAGCCCAAATACAAACATGGAGGCTACTCTTCTTTTGAGGAAGAAAAACCCATCTTCACTTTAAGCACTTTTGGAGGAAGGCAAAATTAAGCATGTCCTCCAACTAGAAGAAACAACTTCTTCATGACTGCCATTTCAAGTTTATATTCACTGATGCTCAGAACTTCATCGTTCTTCTGCATGTGTGGTTTCTGCAATACTATGAGATAATGTTGCCACAGTAAAAAACTGCCTTAATTCACAATCAGTCTTTTGAGCTAGGACAAAAAAAGGAGGTATAGAAATAAAATAAATAATATGTGACTGTGAGTGGATTTATTTATCTCTAACAGTTTAACAGCTTTTGGCACAGGCTTACAAAATTTTCAGCTACGATCAGGGAATTTTTTCAGTAAATAACCTAACCTGTACAAAACCATAAAAGGGAACTGTGTTGCACAAAGGCAAACAATGTTTAATTTGATGCACAAGATGTTTGTTATTGATGTTGATCTTCAGGGAGAAGAAAACAGAACTTCAAAAACTTCAAATGGAAAGGAACTTTTTTTTTCTGGGGAGAATAAAATTGCTTTTGTTCAATCTCCAAAATTGTACTTTCCAGAAATGCTTTCCAATTAAAAGTGATACTGACATAAGATTTTAGTCAGAATTAAAATACTGACTTTGCTTAGGAATGTTTACATGTTTTAAGCCACTTCTTTCAGATGCAGAAACAAACAGAAATTTACCTTCCTCCAAGAACTGGATGTCAGATGTATCAAGGTTGTGATCCATTTCAAACAGCTGTTTCCCTAGAAGTTAAAAAGTATATATTTCAAAATGCTGTTTGGCTATGTAACAAGCTAAGGCAACAATAGTTAGCACGCTATCTTAGGCTACACAGATTATAGTACGTTTGAAATGTGGCTGGGAAAATTTGCACCATCAGTTTCACAGTCTTTATTCAGTCCTCCTCTTGTATTCTACAATAAATCTTTGGGAACTGAATAGATTAAGCTATCTCCTTTATATGAAAATCAAGTTGGATGTACAAACCAGTCACCAGCTCCTACTGTGAAGGAAACACCACATAATGCAAACTAAAGCCTTTCTAATTGGGAGGTGGGGAAAGAAAAGTTCAAGACATTCCACAAGCCTTTCCATCCACATTTGCATTGTTTTTTTTTAATCTTCTATCAGAAAGAGTGTTTGACACTTTAGGTAAAACATTCAAAGACATCTTTTTCTTCTACTGGAGTACCCCATAAAATCTGAAAATAAGCCTTTTTTACTTTTGTAAGGTGTAAACTTATATGTATATACATCTAGTTATATACATATGTATAAACTAGACTATTAAGGAGAAAAACAGCATGCTAACAATTTCAAGAACAAAAAAACTAGAAGCCTGATTTCTACTTACTCTTTTCAGATGCCCAAACACATTCCAATCATAAGGAAATCAAGTACTCTACAGATTTCACTGGACTTACTACCATTAAGACTTCTATCAAGTTTGATCAAAACCAGTCAAAGGTTTCAAAAGCCTTCAGAACAGAAGAGGGAGGTAACAGTGAATGCAGTGGAACTGTCATGTCACAGCCTGAATCAGTAGTTGAGCACCAGGTAAGATGATGTGGCAAACCCAGGGAGCTCATGTTGCTTGCAAGCAACACACCTGAGTGAAAAGGCGGAGCCTGGATCCATCCCTCCTCATCCTCATTAGCAGCCAAGTGAGCAGTATCTCTCTGGTTAGAGACTGCACTCCTTGAGCCATCACTGCTTGTTGACAGGGATGAACCAATTTTTGTTCTTTGTTCCCTGCTATTGCTCTGCAGTGCTTGTATCCCATTAGAAGGTACTGTATACATACTGTGAATAGCCTCCTTTCGCCATTCAGCGATACCACACAATCGTATCAGTTTTGTTTTCTGATGTAATCAGGTTAAAAAGTGGATTTACCATCACAGGAGAACCAAAGTTAAGCTGTAGTGCCTGGAGAATGCTATTTAAGACTTATTTTTGCATACAGGCTCTCTTAAAATAATTTCTTCTACATTTTTTCTCCAGTGGATAGAGTTTGGATTCTGCTGGATTGGGATCTACAGACAACACATCCTAGAACTATAATTACAATAGCTTTTCTCCAAAATACTATAGGAAAACTATCATTCTCACTAAGCATCATAAGCTTGTTGCATCCCCTAGACAGCCACTGTGTTGCTTCAGTTCATCTGCAACATCCCAAACTCCTACATGCCTTCGAATAATTTTAAGTCATGGCATGATCCAATACAAATAAGGCCAAATCACCACACTGCTCAGTGTAGATTCTTTCTGTTGTTTAATAATCCCCAGCTACTTATGCTAGAGCAATGCTCATCAGCTGGAGCTCAAAGTAATAGACTGCCTGGCATAAAACCAAAAGCTTGAATACACAGCTTAGGAACCTTTATGACTTCACTTGAAATCTTGACTCACTCAGCTTTCTATTTAGCCCACCAAAGAGCTCAAGAAGACTTGGAGAAACATGAACAACAATAATTTAATATTGCATTAAAATCTGTTTACCATTATTATCTTTCAAAGTAAGAATTATTTTTAAGGCTTATCATGATAATCTGAGAACACTGCAAAAGCTTCAGGTACAGTTTTAAATCATACCACTTAATTTATTTTTGCCTGCTTGTTCTTCTTCTTTCATCTTTTTTCTTTTTATTTCTAAGAGTTCCGCATCAAACTTTGCTTTCCAGTTCAGGAAATTCTCGATTGTAACAGGAGTGCCATGAAAGCGTTGCTGAAAAAAAAACACAACAGAAAACAAACATGATCAATTAGCAAAACTAGGAGTGAAGATGAGCATTCCCTTCCTTACTTACATTGCAGCATCTCAGAAGCATTTGCTTGCTGTGAGGCATTCTCAGAAATTAACTCTAACCCCAAGCACATACAAAGAACACATTCTTGCTTGTTTCTATTCTCCCCATGGGTCTCTCCCTTCAGAGAGCTGCAGAGAGGTGGAAATTATAGAAAAACACCAAGCAGTACATTTGAACCTACTGTGCAAAAGCTTGTAACACATCAGTAATAAAGGTTATGCTTAAGTAGCAGCACTTATCAACTACATGCAATCTAGACTGAAACTTTCTATAAAAAAAATACATTAACTGTTCTCTGTTACTGACAGACAAAAAGGGTTGGCAGGGATTTTTTTTTCCTACTATTTCAGAAATACCAAATATTTCATGTTTCATCATCCTCTAGCTACTCAAGAAAGCACACGATCAGTAGTTAATGCAGCACGTCCCATGGATAGAATAATTATTCCACGCTGATTGATGAAAAGTACCTGTGCAGGGAGGACAAATCCTGAAGACTAGACCTTACTGCTTCTGCTCCACCAAGGAAGACAGACTTCTTCAGAACAAGAGCAGTTTGTGCACAGCACTACATACTCTATCCTTTTTCACTTCCTGCTTCAAATAAGAAACTGACTACAGAGACTTTGTTTTCACTTGGGAAAAATATCCCTGCCCCAGTCTTAGAAAGTAATCCTGGAGGGGGGTATGAACATGCAACACATATGTGAAAAGATTGCTTTAGAAAGTGAGGGGAAAAATAAATAAAGACCTTTGCAGTGCAATGAACTACCTTGTGGCCTTTAAGAATTAACTACATCAACTTCGGGCTAGATGCTACTCTCCTACTACAGCTCAGAGTTGCTCTTGCATCAAGCCCATGCATCAAGAAAAGTTAAATCTTTAGTTAGAAAAAATATTTTACATACTTTTTCCTCTTCTTCGGCTTCTCTTTCTTTCTGTTTCTTTTCCTCCTCTCTTCGTGTTTTTATTTGATCCACTATTTCATTTAATTTCTCCTGTACTGCAGACACTAGAGTGAAGATCATTACCATTCCCAAATTTTCTTCTGCCTACAACACAAACAAGGCAAATTCAAGCAGAAGAACCCTATATCTTCAGAAGCTCAATACATATATCTTTTCAGAAAGCAGAATTGTGTACATACACACAGATAATACAGCTGAAGCACTCTACATTCATTTCAAAGTTCACTGTAAAATCCAAGTCAATTGGCCAGATAAACAAGTTAAAGTCACTCTCAAACGAATGGGTAAGCAGCTAAACATTGATGATGATAATAATATGTCATCAACATATTCTAGATCTAATCTTCTAATCCCTCACTCCCTTACATATGTTCCTTCCAGGTGGGACAAAATCAAAAATCACCAGCTGCTGGAATAAAGGTGTAAAACGTAAACTAAAAAGAGAATGACTCAAGAACACTTTACAGCCATTTAAGGCAGATAAGATTGGTCAAGAAATATTTAAGTCAACAAGAATGTTTCCTCTTCATACCTTCACAATGCACTGTCACTGACACCAAGGGTCAAAGAGTATTTTTTCTTGATCCAAAATAGTTATGTTATTGAAATGTAGCCTTTTTTTTGTTTGTTTCTTTCCAAATACAACTGAACTGAATTAGCTTCACAAATACTATTTACACACTGTTAAATGAATTCATCTTGAGATAGAAATGCTAAGAGGGGAAGCTGTAGAACCCTTCCACTTCCTTATTCTACATGTGCACACTGAATTAGCTCTGTATTTTACATTAACATCATTTATACCACTAATGCCATTTACCAAATTCAAATCTCAAAGTCAGCCCTTACAGTATGGAAGTTATTTCAAATCAGTAGATCATCTCTCAGAAAACAACCGAATTAAGGAATAAATTCTGACTAAATCAAGTGATATCAAGATAAATTGAAATATTCCATTTTACTTACCTGCTGTTCCAACAGGTTTATTATGCCTGTGACATCATTATCTTCAAGATTCTCCTGCGAGACAATTTCATAAAGGGGAGTTTCATCAGGGTATTTTTCTCTGTAGGTAAACTTAAGGGTTGTTTGGACATCTACAAAACAAAAAAAAAAATAAAAAAATACACATTACAGTGATTATCTTACAGAATTGTAATTGCACATTTTTCTATTGCATCAACAGCTTAAATATCTTAAGATAGGAAAAGAACTTGTCTTAAAGGAACAGTCATCTTACACACACATTACATCTTACAAAACAAATTTAAATATAATGCAATGTAATACCACTAAGACTGAAGTTAACCCTTACATAAGCTATTCCAGACTATTTATGTCTGAGAAGACTTTAGAAAGACTGGAAATTTTTCTGTGGTACAGTGGGTACCAGAGTGGTGACCTCTTTTCCCTGACATCCCACTTAATGCTGGAGAAAATGAAGCAAGAGTCCTAACAACCAAACCTAGAGAGAATCTCAGCATATTACTGCTTTAAATTCTGCATACCTGGTTGGAGCAACAACCAGTGTGGTAGTTAACAACTCCACACACAGCATATGACAAAAACATAAATGCCCATTAGACATTAATAAGCAAAGAGGAAAACTGCCTAAGGAACACACAGTCAATCTGATGTTACTGAGAGCTAGCCCTGCAAGGAAATAAGGCCAGAAAGAACTACATTCCTTCCTTTCATGCATCTTGACAGAATACCAGGCAGGAACCTTCCCCTTCAGTTCATGACTCACAGTTCTGGCAGCCCAATTCTCCCTTTAACACACACTTGCTCCACACAGGGCTTACTCCTTTGAAACAGAAGGAGGTGGCAGCAGTTTCTTTCCTCTAACTCATCAACACAGAATAACAAATATATATATATAATATATATATATATATATATATATATAAACTTGAAAGTTAATATACAGGAAGGGAGATTATTCTATTTAAGACATAATGAACTTACTTTCATCATTTTCACCTGCTTCCGATGTCACAGTAATTGTGAAAGTTGTTGGCTTTTCTGACAACACTGTTAAAAAAAGAGAAAAAAAGATATATGTTAAATCAGACAACTACTTTACGTAATTAAAACTGAATTTCTCTAGGACTAGTAAGGTATACAGGCCTCTTGATACAGTGTTTAAGCCTTTAAAATTCATTAAAAGGTGCTTTCCAGTTAACTGCTGTTTTCTATGTGATGTGATGTTTGAAGTTCTTGCTGAATGACAGCAATAGCGAGAAGTTAGCAAGAGTGCAGACATACCTACCACTAAGTGACTTGAACTAGTAAAGCAAATATAAGCAGAAAGGTCCCAAGGCCAGTTCACTTTATTGTGCTAGATAGGTACAATGGGTGCCCAGTCCATTTCTGACCCTAGACATCTTTACAGTATATTTATTCCTATCACTGTATTTAGGGCGGAAGTGGAAAATGATTCTTAAAAAAAAAAAAAGAGATGGATGATGCTTTCCTTCAAGAGTTCTGGAAATAACCTAGAAAAGGGGGGTGAATTTGAAATAGTCAATACAAAAAATTAAATCCATGAGCAACCATACTCACCTGCAAAAGCAAAGTAAGGCTTTGTTTATTGCCCACCTGTGAAGGAGGCAGCTAAAAAACAGACAGTGTCTCCTAATAGACCAAAAAAAAATGGTAAATCCATGTTCTGCTGTCATGGACTGGATGGTTTTACCTCCCTGCTCAAGCATGAGCTACAAGTGAAATCCCTGATTAAGGATTGTTCTGTACCACTGCTGTAAGCTATAACCAATCTAGTATATGTGATCTAACACTGTTAACTGAATTTTGCCCAACTGCTAACGTACCACCACTACAGCCTTTTGTGCTCCCTCTTCTTTATGGGTATGAGCGCATTATTACTCGGGCAAACAACAAATCAGAATAAACACTCGACTACACGAAAGCGTATTAGTCACTGACTCAGCATCCTCAGCTACAGGACACCGGTCCACGTTGCTTTAAAGTAAAAATGAAGAACCAGAAGCGTTTCCAGACTAAAGCAATAAACAAACGCAGCGGGTAAACGGCAGAGCGAAGTTAGCGCGGATGAGATGAGGTGAGCAGATACGGCGCAGGTAGGAAGGAGAGAACGTGCAGAAATCTCGCGCACGAAGCCTTCGATTGCAGCCCGGGTGCTGGACACCGAGAGCGCATCCTGCACACGGACTGCCCTAATCCTGGAACTGAGGCACCCCGGCACCACACCCACAGCCGGCACGGCACGCTTAAGGACCCCGAACACTCCACGCTCCACTCAACCTTCACCCTGAGAAAGCCATAAGAAAAGGGGCGGCAGGCAGCGCCCCGTAGCCGGCCGGGCCTCCATCGCCTCGCCGCGGCTCACCCGTGAACGAGTCCGGGTAGATGGACTCCAGGGCCTCCAGCTCGTTGCGCTGCTCCTCGCTATAGTCCGTCATCGCCGCCAACGGCCATGGGCCGCGCACACCGCATGCGCGCCGCCCGCCGGTATCGGCTGGCAGCGCCTGGCGCCGGCCGCGCGACTCGCTCGGCAGTAGATGGCTTTGGGCTGGGGGCGGTGCTCAGCGCGGGGGTCGTCGTGGTCGTCTCTTGTTTAGCTTAAATCCGCTCTCCTTGCGCTGCGCTCTGAAGCGGCAGCAGTTGAGGAGCTGTGGTTCAGCCTTTGCTGCGTGGACACCTGTGGACTCTACCCGGAGAGTTCTGCATATGCAGAGCTACTTTAAAAAGACCTTGCTCCTCTTCGGTCGATGTCGTTCTTCAGCTGGAAACCTATAGGGGTCAGCAGGCTGAAGGGTATTCACAAGTTGCTTTAGGAAGTACAAGGTGGGGCTCTGGGGGCAGCCGACCGACATCCCAGAGTGAAATTAGAAGTTCCTCTGGTGTGGTGGTAGCGCAGGTTGGAGTTAGAAAGCACCAACAGACATCTCAGGGGTTTTCCCAGTTACACCACACAGACGGCAGAGTTGCGTGAGCACAGAACTGGAGAAATCAAAGGCACACCATCACCCCGTGTGGGCTTCCTACAAGGGTGGGTTTAAGGGTTAATCAGCACAAGACGCCAACTGGCACTTGTTACATAGCACTGTTTAAGGTGCAGCCACCACTGACAGTTCTCCCTCATATTTCTACAGCACTGAGGTTACAGGAAGCTTTTGTTATAGAAATAATCATTTTCAGTCTGAGTGAGCAAACTGCAATCCTAAACTGATTTTGGGTAAGATGACACCAGTGTTAGCAGACATGGGCAGTTCAGTGCCTTGGGGATTTTTCTCTAGCTTCAAACTCTTCAGGAGGCGGTGCCTTATTTCATTACCAATTCATGACATATTTCAGGAGCAGAGAAATGAAGGGAAATGCGCCATAATCCATAATACTACAGTTGTATTTAATGCTATGGATTAACATATCCCAACAAGACAATATTATGCATTTTAGCAGGCTGAATTCACAATGACAGATAAAGTTTGTTATTTAGATTAAAAAAAAAAAAAACAAACAAAAAAAACCTCTAAAAAACAGAGGAAAAAACAGCAATTGGGACAAAGCTAGAGAACATGAACATTCATTTTAAAGTTAGTTTCACTACAATTATGAGATAGCTCAATTTGTCTTTTTACAAATTCTGCATCATTTCATAGTGGCACTGTGAAACAAGGTACAGAATAGAAAAAAAAAAATCACAACAGGTAGCAGCTAGTTTTTGTTACTCCAATCAGAGAGGCAGGAGAAACTTTCTGAAAACATACAGCTGCTTTGTGTATCTGATTGTGCATAGTGTTCCATCCTCAAAAAAAAAAAAAAAAAAAAACACACACCAAAAAAATCACAAACCAAAACCAAACACCAATGAATCTAAAGTGAAATCAGAGATTGTATTCCCTAACAGATGCTTTGCTTCCTAAGCCAATCATACATACCATGCAGTTCTATTAATAGAAACTTTAGGATTCAAGTGAGATTTGAGATTTGTAAAATTTTCAGTGATGAAAATTGCATTATTCCAGTTACTCAGCATATTCAGCTTTTTCAAGTCCATGTTTAGAAGTTTCTCAAAGGAAGAGCAAACACACTTGAACAAGACCTGCTTTTTAGCATGTTCTCAACTCCTGTATTTTCTAAGGGAAAGTGCTACATGTGTTTTTCCTATTTTAAGACTGTTCTTTTGTTGTTGGTTTTAATAAAATGACAAAAAAAAACAAAAAAAAAAGCAAAAAAACAAACAAACAAACAAAAAAAAACCCCGTAGGTAGCATCCTATAACCTAGCCTATAGTTAGGTAGCATACAGTCCACAGGCTGCAAGGCAATTCAGGAAGCAATGATGACAGCAATCACTGTGGGCACAATAGTATGACTGAATTTTAACATTTTCAAAGGCAAAGCAAATTTAACTTCAGAAGGATATTTCCCCACATAGTAGGCCAGCTTACCTGTAAAGTCTGACACATTTTGAAGTACGTACAATAGGAATAGGAAATAGACCTTGCTACTGCTTCCACTCAGGAAGCGCTCAAATTCAAGTTTCCACATGTGAAGTGTCCTTTTTGCTTTTTTTTTTTTTGTTCCCCCCCCCCCCCCCCCTTCCTTACCCCCTCCTCCCTATAACTGCTATATGATTCACCCCTCCTTTTCTTGTGCATCTCAATTCTGTTAAAAATATCAAGTGCCCTGAAAGTTTTCAAACCACTTTATCTGGACTCAGCCTTGGTTGAGGTGGTGTTTTATCCTCATAGGAGAAAGTGGAAGAGGAAAAATAAAGTATTTCTACTGGAGGTCGTTAAGACAAAGCTAGATATCTGCTTCTACTTAATACAGAGTGGATCAGGCTCATAGGATCGAATCACTCAGAATCTACTATTAAAGATTTTTTAACAAGAGGGAAGAGAAAGCATTTGAGCATAGCTTTCTTACCCAGTGAAACTCATCCCTTTTGCAGAACTGTTAGAAAGTGAAGCTACAGCTTGCAACAGCCCACCCCAGTCAGGTGGGGCCTCTGACCTCTGCATCCCACAGGAGTCATACACCATCAGGAGCAGTGTATAAGTATCTGAAGGACTACATTAACAAAGTATTTATTCATGCCCTTTATGTAATAAATTTATGTAATAAGGTATCAGAAAGCTCCACCACAGTTCAGGTCTAAAGCAGAGCTAGACACTCCTGATTTTTCCACAAGGTGTCGGCAGGGGATCAGAACCTAACAGCTAAGTTATGGTCAAGGGTCTTCATCAAGCTTCAGATATTTTCTGTCTGCCGAGTCCTTGAGTGCCCAGTCATGGAGGAGACTGTAGTCGTAATGCTCCTCATCCACTAATTTTAGGAAGGCCAGTCCAGAGATAGCTTGCCACTCCCTGAGTGATGGGATACGGATTTCATTTATATTTTCATTTCCTGGGACAAATCCAAAGAACTTCTTTACATGCTTCATGGCATAAAGCTTGGAGTGCTGGTCTGTTGCTTCATCAAAGAGCTCCTGCTCATTACGGACATAGCTGGTCCAGTACCTGAAGTGCAGGAAGCTGAGCGGGGAGAAGCAGCTTGCCAGGCAGTAAGACAGGAAGACAGTGATGACTACCACAGCAATCAGAAGCCAGCCAGCCACCTTCCAAAAGCAAACAAGATCAGAGCTGAAAAAACCCATAGTGGTATTTTCTGGGCATAAAAAATAGAAATCTAAGACAATCTTTACTTGCTTTTCCCGAATAAGGAGGCCAGCAGAGGATAAGCATGGCTTGTATCTATTGCCATCGCACCCAGTCCCTAACTACTGCAGACAGCTGAAATTCATTTCTTCCATCAAGTTTAAGGAAGTCCTGATGAATAACTTAAGGATGTTTGCCCTACAGCTACTATTGTGAATCTGCAACACAGAAACCCTCTTATTCCTATTCCAAGTTACCTTATTTACCATATTTACAATCAATTTTCCTTGAAGTAATAATGTTAACATTCTCCCTAGTTCTAGCCGGAATATTATCTAGTTGGAATATTAACTTCCAGACTCAAGTTTGATCCCCCAAAAAAACAACCAAACAAAAAACCAGCAGCAACAGGACTTGGGTTTATATGGTGCTCTCACAGTCTGCACCCCTTAGTCACATTTCTTGTGCTTGAGTTCAAGAAGCTTCCTGCCCTTCAGTGGCTCTTGAACTTCTGTTTGTCTTACTTGCTGGTGCTTCTCAAGACACAAACATGCATCTTCCAGTAGCAAGGGTTAGAAGTGACATTTATGTACCGGATTTTCAATTCCACCTATGGGAACAAGTCAGGCTCCACAAAACACAAAAGAGATTTAGCAATCAAGGCAGAAGACATTGATCCTGTTCTGTCCTCACCCTTTGCCTTCTCAATAAACTGCGGTGTCATTGCTAAATCTGCAGACAACAGCTTTCACAGCAGAAACAAAATGGATTACTCACCTGTGACTGGTACCGGAGCAGGAGGATCACTTCATCTCTTGCCCTGCTCAGCTCTGGTGGAACTAGCTGACTGCATGGAAATGCAGCCAAAATCCTCTGGCGTTCACTAATAGTCACGTTAGGAATATCTCCATAGTAGTACACAGAGACATATTCACTCACAGCACATACATAGTAGGAGCCGTTTATCAGAGTGACTGCTAGCCATGTCACTGGAGCAACCAGTGCTCTCCCAGTGATGCTGCACAGTACAAAGCAGGTCAGTTTGCACTGTAGTAACTGATTCCACGTGCTCTCTGTTAGAAGAGGAGACCTCTTGCCTGTAACCAGCCTCCAGGTCTGGTTGTTCAGAGCATAGCCAATAACCAAAAGAATCAATGCAGGAACACCCAGGAAGGCCAACCCATAGATGAGGTTCTGCCCCACATGACAAGGACAACTGAACGTAAAGAAAGAGAAGAGTTGCTGCCCACCAATTGTCAGTATTGCAATTATAGCATTAGCAATAACAACCTCTTTGCCTTTCAGAAAGGTTAGCCACTTTGGAAGGAAAGTCATTTTAGGTTTCACAGTTTACCAGATAGATTCTCTTGCATTAAGTCACTACTAGCTTTTAGATATAGATAACTGATATTAATGGTAGACTAGAACAGAAACAAGCCAATCCCAATAGTTTAAAATACAAAACAACAACTAAAAAAATTCTAACACAACAACAGGAAGCCTGCTAGTCTTTCTTCTCTAATTAGCTCCTGATCGCTCAATAAGAGATATAGCCTTGTTTACTAGCTTTTATCTACTTGAAGATATTCAGTCATATGTTTTAGCTGATCCAATAAATTTCTCTCAGCAGTTTGAAGACATTCATCATTTAGGGAACTGTGAGCTCTGCCAGCTGATTGCTAATTGGCTGAAGCTACCAATCAGTTCTCACTGCCTGTTCTCCATCAGCAGCAAATTAATATCTATCCTGCCAGGGTAAATTGGTCAGATGTTTTCCAATCAATGGTAATTAGCAGAAGCATAGCATGAGGTTAGAAAAAAGAAATACTGAAAAAAGGGTAAAATGGATTGTTTTCAACTATTCTGCATTAAAAAAAAAGAAAACGAACAAACTTTGCCTTGCTAAGTGGACTGATGATAAAAGAAAAAGCAGCAGAGATATTTTAAAATGCTTCAACATTAAAATAAAAATGGAAAATATTCAATAAGCTGCACAAAGTTGAGAATCCCAATTCTGTTCACATTTAATGGTAATTCTGCTTGTGTTTCAATTTTCTTTGCCAGTACACAAGATGTGGTTAGCTGCTGGACCATGAGGATTTTAGCGTTTCACTTGTAGGGGCAAGAAGCTATCACGTCTCATTTACTGGAAGTACTGAACAATCCTTTATGCTATCTCCTTCAGAAAGATTTTATTTAGCAATCTATAATCTGCTATAGTCTGTCAAGTCATCTTCAGATGAACTTGTGGTAATAGCTAGCATTTATATAGTATGTTCACAATTTCCATTTTTCAGATTTATGTATGTATCATCAATCCCATGCTGTGGACTGAGATAGATAGAAATTAGACATTTTCACAGCTGGTTTCTAAATAGTGAAATGAATTATCTGGGCTCTTAGCACCTCTTACAAATCAAGCCTTAAATGCAGGTTTGTTTAAAATATGTCACTGGTGATTATTTTGTTCAGGTTGCACTTTGTCTAAGGTCTTGCTGTCTGGCAAGTCCAGTCCAATTTGGTACTGAATATGCAAGTACTTGTGGGAATTTAGGTTCTGAGAAGTCTAACTGCCTGTAATACAAAGATTTTGACCAAGAACAGGAAGAAGATCCATACAGGCTATGAGGAAAGTTGTATAGATGATCATATGCAGCTTGCTTGTGCTTGGCAGCATGATAGAGTCTGACAGCCTCCTCAATCCCCATGAGGAGGAGTTGCTAATAATAACTTCCAGTATAAAATGTAGTTTTAGCACCCATGATATCTGCATGAATTACAGAAACACTCTTGTTGCCACAGTGATGGATTTCCTGTTTTCAAGGCAAGACCCTATTCCCTTAGTGCATTTTTGGGGTGGACATCTGATTATCTAATATACAAATGAGGTCCTTGCTGACATTTGGCTCACAAAACTGTGGGACGCCATTACACAAAACTTAAAGTAATAGAGATATATGATTCAACATTTAGCAGCACTTTGCCTCTGCTTTTCTGGACTTTGTTGATAAGTTCTTGGCATTTTGGGCAGTGTAGTACCATAACAAATTCTAGTACTTTCTGAATTCTTTTCAGAAACACAATATTTTCTGTACTTTTTTTTTTTTTCAAATTAGTGATATTTTATTTTGTCAAAATTTATACCCTTCAGGTCCAGTAGAAAAAACTTGTGTGGTTCTCACAGAATTATATTGAAGTTGTGTTTTATAACATTCTTTAATTTTACATCAGTTAATTTTCAAATTTCCAATAATTGCTACTAAACTCTCTTTAAACTCTCTTTTGGAACACATTTTATTTACAGGAAAGCAAGGTTTCCCACACAACATTTGTTTACTCCAGAAGAACATTAGATGTGAAACTGAAGAAGTGAACAATACTGAAATATTCATAGTCAGCCTAAGGCTGTTGAGTGATGCAATTTATATAATCAATTAAACAACTTTGTAAAGCCACTTTTTTTTTTTTTTTTTTTTTTTTTTTTTTTTTTTTTTTTAATGTTTTCTTTCATGTTGTGCTGGAAAAAACCCTGCTGGGTCATCCTATTGTGGAGCAAATTACAGTGTCGGATCCAATTGAGTTTGAGTGGCACATCAAACCTTTGAGTAGTCATCTTTGCAGAGGAACCTGGTGTCTTGAGTAGACATCTCGTCTCTTTCTCTGATTCTCAGGCGGAGTTAGGACTCAATGCAGTCCAAGATACCACAACTTCAGGTGACACCCAGCTCACCTTTGAGGCAAAGAGATGCTTGAAGCTGATGCCTGAGGCAAGTAGCAGTACATGGGCAAAGCTTTGTCATGTTCTAGCTTGTCATTTTGCGGGATTCTCTGTCAGCTAAAATTCACTGCCAGGAATCTCAACAAAATTAGGTGCTTCTTCTGAAGACGTGAAAACTGTTCTTGGGCTGTGTAGGCTAACGAAGCAATTTCTGTCAACTCATACTCAAAATTCTTCTCAGATAGGGCACTACAGAAAAATGGCAGCAATGGCATTGCTTTCTTCTGAAACATGGCTGAAGCAGCAGCCACACTGGCATTTGAGAAAGAGCACTCACTTGTGATGAGTGAGACATGCTCAAATGCATTAATTATTTTTATGTAGCTCCAAATCATAGAATCATAGCATGCCACATCACCTACCTTCTCAAAGTTTGAAATCAAATTTATGTGCAAAATATTTAACACAACATTTATCTGGTTGAAGACAAAGAGCAAAAAAAAAAAAAAAAAGCCCAGCCCAATATTGCACAGATTTGGACCTATCTTTGGTGGGAAATGTGTTCTTATTTTGGTTCAAATAACTTTTTAAGATGCTGAATGCATCAGTGAACTTTATACTGCTCTGCACTCTGGAATATTTCTGTCTGGGAGAAAGACACTGGACTACTGAGGAAATCACACACTTAGCTCCAGAGGTTTCAGCTTTGCCGTAACAGCCAATCTGCTGTATGAGGCAGAGACCTGGCACCCATGTTTATGCATACATTTGAACTTCAGGAGTTTGTGTATATTTATTTCCAGTTAAATGGGAAGGGAGGGAACTGTTATGGCACTCAAGCAATGTGCCTCACACCAAGTTCTTGGGGTGGAAGGCAAAAATCCTCTCCTGACAAATGCAAAAGGGAGGTAGACGGTCATACTGACTTCCTCACCATTCAAATTACCTTGGATATATTCTGATAAGTCTATGCTAAGTCTTAAAAAAACAGCTGCCAGGTATGTGCCAGTCTCTATACTTTACATGGGGATGCAAAATTAGACAGCAGTTAAAAATCGTGAGGTAGTTTTCTCCAGATCCACCACTGACTCAACTCTCTGGAATAATTTAATTTCAAGTTTATTCGGACACAGCATTGAGCTTCATTTTCTGTAGTGTGTGCAACCTTTCAAAACATAACATATGCTCTCTAATACATCTCATTATCTGTGAGAAGTTACAGATGTACCTGTATGCATGTATCACATATTTCACTTTCTGCTCTGCAGTGTTCCTTCATGATTTTAGTATTAATAATGTAGGCTAAAATAATTCATCCTTATACTCAGAACTGGATAAATAAAATGGTGTTCACTTATGGGCAGCCTTAAGTGCTTTGTGATGGTTTCACTGCAGATAATTTATGCTAATGATAATCTTTTAGGGCTATTTTTTTTAAACGCTATGCAGTACATTTTCCTACAGAATGTGGAACATCTCTTGCAATAAGAGACGTGCTCGATGCTTGTGGCCAGTTGGAGACAATCTGGGAAACAAATCCATCTCAGACTCCATTTAGAAATGCAAGTGATTATCTGGAGAATTTTAATGCTGACTTTTATAATTTACTTACAATTAGATATGGAAAGTACCTACAATATTTTCACTTAGAAAATGGAGTCAGCTTTTACAGGGTCAGAAAAGTGCCTAGAAAAAATGGTACATACAGTTGTCAACACCATCTTGTTCTGGGTAAAATGAAAGCTGCTAGAATGGCTGTGTTTCAAAGGAGAAGCTAAAAAATGACTTATATTTGTCCTAATTTTTGTTGTTGGCTTATGTCATTATTTGAAACTACCATTAAAAAAAAAAAAAAAAAAAAAAAAAAAGAATTAATCCCATTTACCCCAAATGAGCTTTCTGTGCATCTGGAGTAATACATACCTGCAATTTTACCCTAGCTCTACATCTACAAGTGAATTAGAATCTCATAACTGCATGACATTCAGAATCAGGCTGTATATCTTTACCAGATTAATTTCTAAATTCACTAGTGACTATAGAGTAGATATGTGCCAAACCCGAACTAACAAAAAAAGGGGAAATTTACCTTAGGTGAAAACAGGAGAAGAAAGCCAAACCTTCCTGGATGCTTTAAGTGAAGATGTTTACATGCGGAGGTAATAGCAAGCTAAGAATGATATAAAATCCACTAGAAACATTGGTAATGAAAGTGCCATTTGCCCAAACTGGCAGCTGTTGCATGTATTCAGCTTACTGCTTTGCAAATCTGGGTGCTCTAGCTCCATCCCACCAGCTCTGCATCCTCAGAACTGCAGTGACAGTATCACTTGTAACCTGTGTCACTCCTGCCTAGGCAGACATTAACTCACTAGACTAAAGATGTCACAGCTGGTAGAGGACTATTGTTCCTGAAGTTGAAAATGACGAATTTTTAATTACCTTGTTTATCATTATCATATAATTATGATTTTACTCTTTGAGGGAAGAGGGAATGTTTCTTAGCTGTCCAAACACCAAAACCTGTCACAAGCGGCAGGATGAACTGAAACCTAAAAAAAAATAAGACCTACACATCTCTTGGGGCCACCCAGTTTGTCTTCCTGTAGCTGTTTACTGTGTATTTGATGACAATCCATTCTCACAGATGGAGCAGTTTATATTGTGTACAGGGTCTGCCAGACTCATTCCTCCCTAAGGGAGGGAGAATAGGAGGAGCATCAGAAGCACTACAGACTGCAGTGAGCATATCTCATGCAAAAGGCAGAAGAGAAGAAAAGAGGGACGTTTAGGAGAGGGAACAAGAAGATGCTGTTTGAGGAAGAAACAGTATAACCTGACACATACGTCAAGCTTTACACAAGCAACATGTCACGGCCTCCGGGAAGAAAGCAGGACAGCCACAAAATAGTAAGATGTTTTTGCT